ACTTCAGAAAAAATATGAAGTAACTGGTGCTATTCTGGCCTCGAAAATCGGCCTGGTTGCAGGTAGGAACTTCATACAACTCGCTTCATACAGCTACATCTGAGGTGTTCGTTCACTGTTTATAGCTCGTAGTTTGTTCACAAATATTTGAATACAACTGAATGCAGATTTTTTTGTGAACGGAGATTTATTATTACCGACAAGGGCTTCAAAAAGTCAATTCGACAAATGTAGTGTCGGAAGGATTTCAGTCTGAAAGGAAAGTGCAAAGCTATTATTATTATTTATTTATCTATTTATTTACTTTATAATCTCTAGGCTCTGGGCCGCCTCAGGTCGGGCGCAAGCTACAGAATGGCACGTGGGCAGCCGTGGCCCTGGCCCGAGGTGGCGCCGAAGGGACTACGCCGCGGGCCTGAGGGTGACACGAGCTGCACCCGGCGACTCTGCTGTAGGACGACGACGCTCGCGGTCTCCTTCGGTGGGCCTTCTGCAATTTATTCATGCATTCTCATAGTGTGTGCACACATATAGTATATCAATATTATATATATATATGTATGTATGTATATATATATATATATATATATATATATATATATATATATATATATATATATATATATATATATATATACTAAATGTATATCTATCTATCTATATATATATAATATATATATATATATATATATATATATATATATATATATATATATATATATGTGTGTGTGTGTGTGTGTGTGTGTGTGTGTGTGTGTGTGTGTGTGTGTGTGTGTGTGTGTGTGTGTGTGGTGTGTGTGTATCAGTTATCTGCGAAGAGATATAACGCCAGTGTGAATTGCAGTCCCCGGAGAAAGCACCACCAGACACTGTGAATGATAAAGCTGCCAACTTAACAGATAACGCCTTCCCTTGATATCTATGTGCGATAGGTTCATCATGGTCACATTCATGTACATACGAGCATGTGTATTCTAGTGTAAGTAGAAACACCTGAACGCAAGCTCACCCAGGGGTATGGGCATAAAAAGTAAAAAAAATGCCCTTGTTATTGTGATCTTGTTCTGTGCAATGCAAACTAATCAATATTTAAAACTGTATATACGAACATATAGTTATCAATACGATTCGTACGAGCAGATGTAAATTCATACCGAAAGTATAAAACAAATCCAAAGTGTACATACAAATCTTTATCATGGTTTACACGTGTAAGAACTGAACTCAGTGATATACTGGGGCAGATATCATACCGAAAAAAATGCAAACTTTACATATAAATTTACATGATAGTTTACACAAATTAATGATAAACTGAGGCAGATATCATTCCGAATATATATATATATATATATATATATATATATATATATATATATATAATATATATATATATATATATATATATATACAAATCTGTATTATATTTTACAAGTGTAAAAACAGCACAATTATATACTGGGGCAGATATCATACCAAAAATATAAAACAGATGCAAACTTTACATATACATCTGTATCATACTTTACACGTGTACACACTGAGCTCAATCCTGTACTCGGGCAGATAGCATGCCGAGAATATGAAACAAATTGAAACTCGACATACAAGTCTTTATCATAGTTTACACGTGTAAAAACTGAGCCCAATGATATACTGGGGCAGATTTCATACCGAAAATATAAAACAAATGTAAACTTTACGTACAAATCTCTATCATAATTTACACGTGTGCAAATTGAGCTCAATCCTGTTCTTAGGCAGATTTTATTCCGAAAATATAAAACAAATTCAAACTACATATAAATCTGTTTCATAGTTTACACGTGTGCAAATTAAGCTCACTCCTGTACTTGGGCAGATTTCATTCCGAAAATATAAAACAAATTCAAACCATATAAATCTGTATTATATTTTACACGTGTAAAAACAGCTCAATTATATACTGGGGCAGATTTTATTCCGAAAATATAAAACAAATTCAAACTACATATAAAGATGTTTCATAGCTTACACGTGTACAAATAGAGCTCACTCCTGTACTAGGGCAGATTTCATACCGAAAATATAAAACAAATACAAACTTTACATACAAATCTGTAATATATTTTACACGTGTAAAAACAGCTCAATTATTACTGGGCAGATTTCATACCGAAAACATAAAACAAATACAAACTTTACACATAAATCTGTTCATAGTTGACAGATTTCATACCGAAAATATAAAACAAACCTACCTGCAAATCATAGTTTACTCGCGTACAAATTGAGTCGAGTCGTATGCTGGGCAGATAAGATAGCAGGTTCCCGGAATCGGAGAAGCGAGGAAAAATACCATCATTTGGGCAGCGTCGGATTTCGGCAGAAAGTTCAGTGGGAATTATTCTGATTGATGGTTGATTGACAAATTGACTCGGCGGCATTAGTGAGCACATACGTACGCACACACACATATATAAACACACGCACACACACGCACACTCTCACATACACACAC